AGCCGATCCAGCGGATCCGTCCGGAAACGGTGCCGGAGGCCGCTCTGGGCTCCTCTGGGCATCCCCCACGGGGCCCGTTTTGTGAGGATGTCTCAGGCGAGGGCGCCGGTTTGGGATTCGTCACCGGATCCAGCGGATCCAGCGGATCCGTCCGGAAACGGTGCCGGAGGCCGCTCTGCAGGGCTCCTCTGGGCATCCCCCCCGGGGCCCGTTTTGTGAGGATGTCTCAGGCGAGGGCGCCGGTTGGGGATTCGTCACCGGATCCAGCGGATCCAGCGGATCCGTCCGGAAACGGTGCCGGAGGCCGCTCTGGGCTCCGTGCTCTTCGCGCCGGGGGTGAGGATACGTGAGTCCCACAGAAACTCCCTCAAACGAGGCCGCTCTGGCTCCTCTGGGCAATCTCCCCCAGCAAGGAGACAAAAAGGTAGAGGTACTTTCGTGCTCGCAGGCGAGGGCGCCGGTTTCGGGATTCGTCACCGGATCCAGCGTGATCGGCGGATCCAGTCCGGAAACGGTGCCGGAGGCCGCTCTGGGCCGCCCTGGGCATCCCCGCCCTGGGCCCTGTTTTTATGTAAGGATGTCTCAGGCGAGGGCGCGAGGGGTTTGGATTCTTCACCGACCACGGATCCGCGGATCCAGCGGATCCGTCTGGAAACGGTGCCGGAGGCCACTCTGGGCTCCTCTGGGCATCCCCCCCGGGGCCCGTTTTGTGAGGATGTCTCAGGCGAGGGCGCCGGTTTGGGATTCGTCACCGGATCCAGCGGATCCAGCGGATCCGTCCGGAAACGGTGCCAGAGGCCGCTCTGGGCTCCTCTGGGCATCCCCCCCGGGGCCCGTTTTGTGAGGATGTCTCAGGCGATGGCGCCGGTTTGGGATTCGTCACCGGATCCAGCGGATCCAGCGGATCCAGCGGATCCGTCCGGAAACGGTGCCGGAGGCCGCTCTGGGCTCCTCTGGGCATCCCCCCCCGGGCCCGTTTTGTGAGGATGTCTCAGGCGAGGGCGCCGGTTTGGGATTCGTCACCGGATCCAGCGGATCCAGCGGATCCGTCCGGAAACGGTGCCGGAGGCCGTTCTGGGCTCCTCTGGGCATCCCCCCCGGGGCCCGTTTTGTGAGGATGTCTCAGGCGAGGGCGCCGGTTTGGGATTCGTCACCGGATCCAGCGGATCCAGCGGATCCAAGCGGATCCGTCCCGGAAACACGGTGCCGGATGCCGCTCTGGGCTCCTCTGGTCACCTCCCCCGGGGCCGTTTTTGTGAGGATGTCTCAAGCGAGGGCGCCGGTTTGGGATTCGTCACCGGATCCAGCGGATCCAGCGGATCCAGCGGATCTGTCCGGAAACGGTGCCGGAGGCCGCTCTGGGCTCCTCTGGGCACCTCCCCCGGGGCCGGTTTTGTGAGGATGTCTCAAGCGAGGGCGCCGGTTTGGGATTCGTCACCGGATCCAGCGGATCCAGCGGATCCACCGGATCTGTCCGGAAACGGTGCCGGCGGCCGCTCTGGGCTACTACGGTTACGAAGATCCCGCCCCGTGGCTGCGTTTTGTGAGGAGTCTCAGGAGAGGGGCGCCGGTTTTTGGATTGGCGTCAACCGTGGATTCCAGCCAGGCGGATCCAGCGGATCCAGCGGATCCGTCCGGAAACGGTGCCGGCGGCCGCTCTGGGCTCCTCTGGGCATCCCCCCCGGGGCCCGTTTTGTGAGGATGTCTCAGGCGAGGGCGCCGGTTTGGGATTCGTCACCGGATCCAGCGGATCCAGCGGATCCATCGGATCCAGCGGATCCGTCCGGAAACGGTGCCGGAGGCCGCTCTGGGCTCCTCTGGGCATCCCCCCCGGCGCCCGTTTTGCGAGGATGTCTCAGGCGAGGGCGCCGGTTTGGGATTCGTCACCGGATCCAGCGGATCCAGCGGATCCTTCCGGAAACGGTGCCGGAGGCCGCTCTGGGCTCCTCTGGGCATCCCCCCCGGGGCCCGTTTTGTGAGGATGTCTCAGGCGAGGGCGCCGGTTTGGGATTCGTCACCGGATCCAGCGGATCCAGCGGATCCACCGGATCCGTCCGGAAACGGTGCCGGAGGCCGCTCTGGGCTCGTGCTCTTCGCGCCGGGGGTGAGGATGACGTGAGTTCCACAGAAACTCCCTCAAATGACCCTCTGTTCAGAGGACGTGGGAGGCAAGTCGAGGTCGATACTCACGGAGCACGGCCAGTTCCTGGACAAGATCAACGCAGCGACGGTACTACGCAAAGTCAAACACATCAAGCTCAGCAAGTGCTTCGACTCCAACCAAGCGAAGCTCACGCTGTTCATCGAGCAGGGCCCATGGACGGACGCGGAGAACGAGGAGGATCCGACGGAGGAGCAGCTGCAGTGGGGCAGCATCAAGGACACCATTCACCGCGCACTACTTCAGATTGGAGCGGTGGTCAAGGAGGGCAAGGCACCAGCGGGAGTTATGGAGGATAAGCTGGCTGCCTGGCTTGCAGGACTGTGAATTTGTATGGAGGCTGACTATCTACGCCATGGTCGGTTTCAAGCTCGGCGTGCGCGACGCCGTGAGCTGAGTGAAGGCACCCGCTCAGTGCTGGCGACGGCGGGGGCTAGAGAACGAGGCACACGCCAGACTCCGCCCCCAGAGGCCGCTCTTCTTCTTCTTCTTCCTCCTCCTCCTATTCCTCCTCCTCCTCGTCCTCCTTCTCACGTGGCGCTCCACCGTGCTCCCTGCCTCCTGCCTCCCTTGTGCATGTCCAGGCGCTCCACGCCCTCCCCTCTGTGATCCTCCTCCTCCCTCTTCCTCTTCCTCCTCCTCCTCCTCCTCCTCCTCCTCCACCTCCTCCTCCTCCTCCCCCCTCCTCCTCCCTCCTCCCTCCTCCCTCTTCCTCCTCCTCCTCCTCCTCCTCCTCCTCCTCCTCCTCCTCCTCCGCCTCCTCCTCCTCCTCGCTCCTCCTCCCCCCTCCTCCTCCCTCCTCCCTCCTCCCTCTGCTCCTCCTCCTCCTCCTCCCTCCTCCTCCTCCTTCTCCTCGAGCCTCCTCCTCCTCCTCCTCCTCCTTCTCGATGCTCTGCTCCTCCCGCCTCTTTCCTCCTCCTCCTCCGCCTCCTCCTCCTCCTTCTCCTTCTCGCCCTCCGCCTCCCCGTCCTCCCTCCTCCCTCCGCTCACTGCCCTCTTCCTCCTCCTCCATCCACTCCTCCTCCTCCTACTCCTTCCTCTTCCTCCTCCTGCTGCTGCTCCTGCTCCTGCTCCTGAGCTCCTGCCCTCCCGCTCAAGCTGCCCCCGCTCAAGCTGCCCACCCCCCGCACAGCCTCGGGGGCGGCGGGGAGGGATGGGTCCGTGTACCGCCCCGCCCCCCCCCCCCGCCCTCCAATCCCTTGGTGGGAATGCTGTTACGTACGTCTCTCGACGTGTGCGTGTCGTCCCTGCGCAGGGGCCACGCTGCCCTTCTCGGCATCGCTCCGACTTTGACGGAGGATCCCAGAAGGGAGTCCGCCCCTCTTCCTTGCATGCCTGCCCCCCCGAAGTGATAGGAAGAGGAGGACGAGGATGAGGAGGAAGAAGAGGAGGAGGAGGAGCAGGATAAGTAGGCATGAAAAAGAGGATAAGGGAGGATGGAGGAGGGATGTGGGAGGAGGAGAAGAAGAGGAGGAGGCAGGAGCAGTAGAGAAGGATGAGAGGAGAATGAGGAGTGGAGGAGGGAGGAGGAGGAGGAGGAGGAGGAGGAGGAGGAGGAGGAGGAGGAGGAGGAGGAGTAGGAGGAGGTGACGGCGGGGACGAGGAGAGGAGGAGGAGGAGGAGGAGGAGAAGGAGGAGGACCCCCTCCCTTCGCCCTCCACCCCTCCATGGTCCATCCATCCCTCCGCCCCTCCCCATCCCTCCCTCCTTCCCTGTCAGCCGCAGCCGCAGCCCGTCGCTGTGATCGCCGTGGCCAGGACGACGGCGACGGCGGCGGCGACGCCGCAGGTCCGACCTATCCGCCCGGGCCCGCGCGCGGCACCGCCGGGGGCGTCCAAGAGGGGGGGTGCGCACAACGTGGCCCGAGGCACGTGCGCGGACGCGGGGGGGGGGACCAGACGACGACGACGACGACGACGACGACGACGACGACGACGACGACGACGACGACGACGACGACGATGGCGACGGCGACGGCGAGGACGATGACGACGACGACGGCGACGGCGAGGACGAGGAGGAGGACGACGACGACGACGACGACGACGGCGACGGCGACGGCGACGGCGACGGCGACCCCTGAAATCTGGGGAGGGCCCCCGCCATGATACCTCTACGTACCTCCCCCTTCACCCGGACATCCTCTGCCGTGTTCAGCCCGCGGCCCCCAGAATCCCGACCCCGTCCCTGGGAGCAGCGCTTCCTCCCGGAGCCGTTCTTGATGGTCCTGGGGCGCGAGGACAGCCCCCAGGGGCCGGAATCTGGGAGAAAAGCAGGGACTGAAACACCTCATGTTACATCCTCAAGGGGCCTTGTCTGTCCCCTCTCGGCCCCATCAGCGTCGAATCGGTGTCGAATCCACGCTGGACTCGTCGGATCCGTGTCGAGTCCGTGTTGAATCCGCGTCGAATCCACGCCAAGTCCGCGTCGACGAGTCCGCATCGAGCCCGCGTCGGACACAAGAGAAGAAACCAATGTTGGGGACAGGCGGAGTCCCCCGAAGATGCAACGCAAGACACCACATCCTCGTAAATCAGCGAAACACTCCGCGACTGAAGCACCATATCCTCGGAGATCTGGGCAGTCAGCATCCCCCTCCTGGTCGCCCCCGATTTTGAACGCCCGATATGGGTACGAAAACAATGGGTACAATGCCCAACAACAAATGTTGTCCCAAACCAACAGCGGCCGCTGTTGGGCAGGCGGCCTTCTGACTCGAACGGACACAGGCCGCGGCGGCGTGGACAGCGAGTCCTGTGCAAAATGAACCAGATCCGCTGTTGTGCATTGTACCCATTCTTCCCGTGCCCATGGCGTTCGTGCGGACCGATGCCCCCTCCTGGCGCCCCGCGTAGCCCGGGTTCATGGTGATGAAGTACCCGACCGACGGCGTGAGCTTGATGGGCGCCGCCTGCGGAGGAGGGGGAGGGGGGGGTCGGGCGGCGGGAGGGGGCGGCGGGGGGGGGGGGGGGAAGGGGACAGGGGAGGGAGGAGAGGGGGAGGAGAGGGGGGGGGAGAGAGGGGCGGGGAGGGAGAGGGAGGAGAAGAGGGAGGAGAGGGGTGGCCTCGTCCTCCGCTCCTCCATGCCAGCAGTCAACACCGCTATTCTGCGCCCTTCTGGCCACTTCGCTCCTCCTATACTGTTTGCCTCTCCCATACCGCACGGGCATGCCGCCCAATTCACTGTGTTCCCTCTGCGCCTAAGTCGCTTATTTCGATATTACACACGAGGTGCGCTACAGGCTTTGCACCCAGAGTCGGCCCAACCCGGAGGAGGGGGAAATGGGGGGAGTGAGGGGGCGCGAAGAGGAGGGGGAGTGCTGAGGGGAGGGGGGGGGAGGGGGAGCGAGGGGGGAGCGAGGGGGGAGCGAGGGAGTCAGGGGGAGGAGGGGGGAGTGGATTCGGCATGAAGGATGGGAGGGGGGAGCGCGGAGGCATGAGGAGGAGGAGGGGGAGTGTTTGGTGCTGCGCCCTATGGGTCCGGGCGACCCTCGCCCCAGCAGGGTGCATACACAGGTCCGCTGTAGCCAGACAACCGGGGCCCCGCCGCTCCCGGAGCACGCTCCGGGGGCAACGGGTGCGCCTCGAAGGCCATCCCCGACAAGCGGGAGGGTGGGCAACGGAGGGGAGGAGGAGGAGGAGGAGGCGGAGGAGGAGGAGGAGGAGGAGGAGGAGGAGGAGGAGGAGGAGGAGGAGGAGTAGAGGAGGAGGATGAGGAGGAGGAGCATCGAGGAGGAGGAGGAGGAGGAGGATCGAGGAGAAGGAGGAGGAGGAGGGAGGACGAGGAGGAGGAGGAGGAGGGCGGGGCGGAGGAGGGGGAGGGGGGTGAGGAGGTAGGAGGGAAAGTAGGAGGAGGACGAGTGCAAACTCAAGACGTGTCAACGACAACTGCTTCTGTCCATTGCTGAGAATGCCCCGTTGGAAAACAAACGTCTGCGAATCCTAAATCGAGCCAGAACACCAATCGTGGGAATTCGACGCCGCAAATCAACGTGACAGCTGCGACTTGGCAACCCCAAGCCGTGCCAGAAGACTGCTCTTGGGACTTTGACACCGCGAATCCACGTGACTGTTGCGCCCTGCCAATCCTAAACCTTGCCGGGACTTTTAGAGCGAATGCGCGCGGCGCTAAGGCGAGAGTCACATGTGGAGTAGGAGCCGCCCGCCACCTTCAAAATGCTGCAAACTTTAAAACGAATGCGCGCGGTGCTGAGGCGAGAGCCGCATTTCAAACGGGGTCCGCCCACCATCATAAAAGCACTGCTGCACTGTTCCAGACAGACTGCACGTGGCGCTAAGACAACAACAGCATGTTGAAAACCACCCGCCACCCACCCTTGAACATGTTGCAAACTTTAAGCAGGACGTACGTTGCGCTAAAGCGAGAGCCACACTTTCAAAAGTCACCCACTCTCCACCGTCGAAGCCGTTGCAAACTCCAAATGCGGCGTTCCAATAGGGGCTTTTTTCTTCGAGGGTCGAGCAGGAATTGACACCTCTTCCTCCACGGAAGGCGGCGGCAGGGCGGCGGAAGGCCGGCGGGAGTAAGACGATGCCGCCTCCGCCGGCGGAAAGGCGGCGGAAGTAGAACATGCGCCCCCAAGAAATGACGATATTCAGGAGGGGAAAAACACACAGACACAATTCATCGTCGACTCCCAGAAAAATATGCAAAAGTATGGGAAGTGGGGGGGAGGAGACAAACAGCCAGAAAATATGGGAAAATTCTTTTATTTGTGTGTATTTATTTGTGTGTCCTGGGGCCCCTTCAGAGATGTTTGTGTTCAGGGTTCCCGGAATCCGCCCAATGTGTGAAAATCAGGCATGGCTGGGATGTCTCCGGCCAAACGCCCAGCCCCCCGCACTGCCGACGCGTCTGGGTATGCGACAGGGGAAAACTTGTAAGAAAGAGGGGTGAAGGAGGAGGACGCGAGAGAGGGAGGAAGGCCCAGAGGAGAGAGAAGCGAGAGGAAGAGATGGAGGCGGAGAGGAAAGAGGAAGGGGACAGGCGGGGAGGATGACGGAAGAAGGGGAGAAGGGCGAGAGGCAGGAGGAGGGGGGGAGAGGGGACTCGAGGGGGAGGGGAGGGCGAGGGGGGGTAGAGAGAAAAGGAGGGCTCGCCGCCAAGCAAATCGAGGATCGGAGGTCGGAGGCAAACAACGAAACACTCATCCCTTCAGGATCGAGGATCTCGATCGTCAAAGGCTGAGGTGATAAATTGTTTGCTCGGGGCCCTCTGCGTGCTTCGGCAGGCTGCCTCCGGAGGACCTCCTGGAGGCCTCCGGGGACCTCCTGGGGACTCCAGGGGCGTCCGGGGGACCAGGAAGAGGGTGGACACAAGCAGAGAGATGGTAACTTTGTGCTTTCGTTGCATCCCAGTGCGCGCGACGACTTTCGAAGCTGAGGTCGGAGACACGGCGAAACAGCGAGACAATCAAGCAGAGGGGTAGCGGGTCCAGGGTGGCCGTAAGACCCTTGATCGCTCCTTGCTGAGCTGGTTACGTTCAGCGGCAAACCTCGGTAAGCTCTGCGTTGGGGGGGAGGAGGGGGAGGAGGGGGAGGGAGAGGAGGAAGAGGAGGAGGAGGAGGAGGAGGAGGAGGAGGAGGGGGAGGAGGAGGAGGAGGAGGAGGAGGAGGAGGAGGAGGAGGAGGAGGAGAGGAAGGAGGAGGAGGAGGAGGAAGAGGAGGAGGAGGAGAAGGAGGAGCAGGAGCAGGAGGAGGGGGAGGGGGGATGAGGAGGAGAGGGGGAAGAAGGAGCAGGAGCAGGAGGAGCAGGTCAGACAAGGACGCGGGGGCAGCCTTGGTGAAGCTCAGCGGCCTTCCTGCTGTGATTGGCTGTAAGCCTCGCCCCTCCCACGTGGTATTTTTGTCACGGCGTGGGCCCCGAAACTGCTGACACCATTCCCAGAACTGTTGTTTGCGGGGGGGGCTGTTTCACAGTCCCCCCGCCTCCTCAATCTTGAGTCCCGATCCTCGATCCTCTTCCCTCCTCGACTCTGGTACCCGATCCTCGATCCTCCTCCACATCCTCCACCTTGATCCTCGTTCCTCGATCCTGCTTCTACATCTGTATCCTCGATCATCGATCCTCCTCCTACTCCCGATTGAACCCCGTTTCTCAAGCCTCCTCCCTTCTCGAAGTTGAACCTGGATCCTCGAGACTCCGCTTCCTCCTCCTCCGCCTCCTTCATGGGATCCGCCTCACCCCTCGAACTCCCAGACTTTCGATGCACTGTTTTTGCAGTGCGGGGTCCTCAAACATCCTGGGGCCGCGAGCCCGACTCCACACCTCGGCCACCCGCGCGTGCGTCGACGGGACCCGCGTCCGCCACCGCGCGCCGACTCCGAGGCCCAGGGGACTGGCCAGGCTCCCCAGCTGTCGAAACTGGTGGACAAACAGGACTTGCGTCTCCTCGATCCTCTTCCTCCCCCCCCCTCCTCCTGCTCCTGCTCCTCCTCCTCCTCCTCCTCCTCCTCCTCCTCCTCCACCTTGACCCCGTTCCCCGAGCCTCCTCCCTTCTCGACCTCGATCCTCGATCCTCTCCCTCCCTCCCTCGACCTCGATCCTCGACCTCGACCTCGATCCTCCCTCCCCCCTCCGGGGCAGTGCCCACGGGGGGCCACCGCCGGGGGGGCGCCTCCTCCCCCGAGGTGCCTCGAGGGGCCCCCACGACGCGGGGACACCGCCACTCTCCCCGAGGAGGCGCCACGCGGCCTCGAGGTGATGGGCCTGCTTTCTACCACCACCACCACAAGTTGGAGGGGGGGAGGAGGAGGAGGAGGAGGAGGAGGAGGAGGAGGAGGAGGAGGAGGAGGAGGAGGAGGAGGAGGAGGAGGAG